CCTTATGCAAAATTGCTGCCATCTGTCGCCCGTCGTGTGCATACTGCCATATTATAGACGCAAGCGCCGCGCAGTCCACACAGTTTGCGTGTGTTCACGTATACGTATATGTAAGGCATATCGACGTGAGGCGTGTATTGGCTAATAATCACAATGGTGACGTATTGCTGCATCCCTCGCTATACACAGACGGGAACTCGGAATGCTGAAGAAAGAAAATCTGTCAACTTTGCCCCTCGTTATTTTTCAAGATGATGATGTTTCTAGCATGTGCTCCGGCTACTGTCTCGAAACATGTGTTCGCGTTCTCCTTTATAAGCAAGTGTTGATTGATTGACATATGGGGTTAACGTCCCAAAACCACCGTATGATTATGAGAGATGCCGTAGTGAAGAGCTCTGGAAATTTTGACCACCTGGGGTTTAACGTGCACTCAAATCTGAGCCCAAGAGCCTACAGCATTGTCGCCTTTATCGAAAATGCAGCCGCCGCACCTAGGGTTCGATCTCGTGACCTGCAGGTCAACACTTTCTAAGCAAGTATAATGAGCAGCAGCATTTGTACTCATGTTCCCTCAAAATGCTATACACCAAAGCTAGAAATTTTTTGAAACGTACAGTGGAATCTCAATGATACGAATCTCACCGGGTCACGAAAAATATTCGTATTAGCCGAAATTCGTATCATCGAAACAAATAAAACTAGCTAAATTAACAAAGAGTCAGACGTGAACTCATCCAGGCACAAGTACGTAAAAAGCATTTATTTCTTGATGAAAAAGTCTCTGATGTCCTTCTGCCTCTTTTTCTTCGCCAGGTCACCTAGCAGATTTTGTTCGAAAGCATAAAAACGCCTGCACGTGTCGTCGCTGACTTCATCCGTGGCCACAGTGCGCCTCAGAATGTCGAGCGCGTGCAGCATTTCAGCCGCCGGTGGTGGTCCTTCGCCGTCGCCCACGTCTATGTCGTCACCATCATCACTGGAATCGGCAGCCCCGCACGTGGCCTCCTCAACAATATCTTCGACCATGCGCGCACCGCAGGTGGCGAGATTGTCATCTGCCGTGCAAAAATCATCACATGTGCACTCGACGTTCAGCTGTTCCCAGTCCTCAATTGTAGGATCTTCCGGCTCTGGGGGCACCTCTTCTGGACTCCCGAAGAAGCCGCATTTGCCGAAGCAGTTCGCTACGGTAGTCGGAGTTACCCGATCCCTTGCCATAGCTATAAAATGGATGGCGTCCAAGAGGCTTATTCTCAGGTCACCTTCGTCCTTTCGGTCAATTTAGTAGTAGGCGACGCACAAGAAGGCTCTTAAAATGGTGCTTCACATTCCTAATAATCCCAGCGTCAAGGGGTTGCAGGTGCGTTGTCGCGTTTGCGGGTAAAAAGACGAGTTTGACGTTCTGAAGCATTACTTGCCTCGTGGGCGGCGCACTGGTCAAAAAAAAGAAGAATCTTCCGATTCTTACAAGCCATCCTCCTGTCAAGGAGTGACAAAAACTCTTCAAACAACGCCGCCGTCATCCACACCTTTTTGTTTGCGCAATAGACGTACGGCAAATGACTCTCGCGCTTGAAGCACCGGGGCTTTTGGAACTTTCCGACTACGGTCAGCTTAAGCTTTTCCGATCCGTCAACGTTACAGCACAAGAGCACAGTAATACGCTCTTTGCTTTTTTTGCCTCCTCTGCATGCTTCGCCTTTTAAACAGAGGCTCTTTTCAGGTTGCAGGTTAAAAAAGAGACCTGCCTCATCAGCATTGAAAATATCACGAGGCTCATATTCTGCAATGAGTGACGGCAGCTTCTCTAACCAGTCGCTGACATCTGCCTCGTCAGCTTTTTTCGCTTCGCCGCAGAGGCTTTTGTAAACGGGAGCGTGCCTAGTCTCAAAGCGCTGCAGCCACCCACCTGAGGCCTGAAATTCGTCGATATGCAGAGCAAGTGCAAACTCGTCGGCTTTCTCCCGCAAAACTTTGCCATCAATATTTACGCCAGCTGCGGTTACTTCTTTAAACCAAGTCAGGAGAGTCTCTTCAAGTTTCACGTGCTGAGCGGTCTTCGCTTGCTTTGCGTTGACGTTGAACGAAAGCACGTTTTTCATTATGGTCTCTCGCTGTCCAACAACTGTGCTCAGTGTTGACGTTGCAAGGCCTAGCTCTTTAGCCAACTTCGTCTGCTTTCTCTTAGGATCCTCATCGACCTTTCGAAGAATGTCTAATTTCTCCTCAAAGGAGAGCGCTTTTCGCTTGCGAGACATAGCTCGTTGCGACTAGGCAAAATGGCGCAAACACAAAGAGCGCGGCCCAAAGCATAACACTGCAGCCACTCCATCCAACGCCACACAGAGAAAGAGGAAAAGCACAACAGCAACAAAAGCGTCACCGCCCCACTTGCCCCGCGCAGTCCGTCGCGTCCGTGCCGCCGCACCGAAAAAAAGAGGGAGAAAGGAATTCGTGGCCAGCGCCATCTCTAAACCTAAACCGAAATAAAAGGGCGCAAGTGGTCTCTGAGGTCTCCGATATTGCGCACGCCGCGTGCCGATGTTGGAGGCCGCCACGCGCTGCTGGCAGGCACCGTTGGCAAAATGCCAAACCGGCGGTGCAGCGCGCATTCCGGCGCGTGACTGAGCGCTGTTCTATTTCGCGGCTGTCAGTGGGGCGGCGTTCATTCATATCAAACGACGCGGGCAGAAAATCGATTCGTAACAAACGTACTCTAGCGCATTGCAAAGTAATGGGGCTTGGCAGGGACCACAGAAAAATTCGTATTGTCCGGCAATTCGTACTAGCCGTGATCATATCATCGAGATTCCACTGTATTCATTAGCAGCTGTTTCATAAGTGGAGGTGACTTGTACGCTTCATGCAGCAGCCACATTCATGCAACGGGCCTTATCGCTGCTAATTGCACGTGCCAACATTTCATTAAATGTGTTGTTTCAGTAAGGGCACATGCTGAAATAGAAGCAAGTGTGCGTCATCAGTTCATTCTGAGAAGAAATCCACGGTGTTAAAGCATCTTTGTTTTATGTTGTTTCATTTTTTCTTCTGGAGTGTGACAAGCTGCCGTTTAGTGAAATGATTGAGCACAACTGTGAACATTTTTAAAGGATTCGATGTGCTCGGCACACTCAACGAAATGCAGGCACATGCAATTAGCCGCAATGAAGCTTGTTGCATGAACGTGGCTTCCGCAAGCAGTGTACCAGTCGCGCAAGTATCCACAGTGCGAATGCAAAACTGAAGTATAGTACGTTAAAATGAATTTCACAATGTTTTTGTCGATAAAATTACGGGAGGCGTAATCTTTGTCCCTACTTTGAACCATATAATCTAAAGCATTGCCTCCGAGATGCGGCGCACAGCAATTCATCTGTAGAGCAGACGACGGATGACAACTTGCCCTAAAGCGTGTTCTTCAGTCTAATGCGGTAGTCTTCATGCCCCAAATGATAAAAATTTGTTATGAATCGTTTATGAACTCATTCAACATTCAATTCTCTTACCCAACATGTTGCAAACACATGGCCATCACAGCAGCTCCATCTGTGCGTCAGTAATGGAGAAGCACCACATATTAGAAATCTCAGTGCTCTACGTATAAGAGTGAATTCAGATACTGTAGAATACCGTGTTCAAAATAGTTACTCCTATCTGCTAAAACAGCCTTTCTTCACTAAATGCAATCACGTTTACTCGCGTTTGAAGCTTATTGCCGCTTTTCCGTTCCGATTTTGAGATTTCTCAACTTATCAGCGCATTCTCGAAAAGCTCTGATTTGTACCACGAATATTGTCGCTAAAAACAAAATAATGCAACATCTTTTTTTATATTACTGTATGACGGCCTTCGGTCGTGTATTTACGAGATTTTAAGAAAAATCGAAGATGGGTTTTTTTTTTATTCAAATTTCAGTGGAGTACATTAAGCGCGGCATTTTTTTTATTTGTTTTTTTTTTGCATGCCCCCCCCCCCCCCCCCCCCGGCAGACGCGTTTTTTTTTTCTTTCGCCCTTTTGCCAAAGTGAGAACTTTGAGGCAACATATAAAAATTTACATTTGCCCTACGGCAGCAATAATTTATGTAACTAATGAACACACTATAGCCTTAAAACATTTCAAGTTTGAAAACGCTGCTTGCATTACTTTCAGAGAAAAAAATGGGGAATACGTAAATTATTTTAAACTGTCGCAAAATTAGACATCTTTAAAAGCTATTTTCTTAAGGTCTACAAACTTGAAACCGTATGAATTCATTCTTCATTAGACATGCATTTCAAGGTAAAAAAATATCTTCCTTGAAACAAATATATTTGTCTTTTTATAGCATCTGCAATTTTCCAAAATTACAGGTGACGAAATTGGTGCCTCCGTGTTGGTGAAGTTTCATATTTTTTTTCGCGTAAGTTATGCCGTTAATCATAAAACGAAGTTGATTTTCGGGCTACCTGGTGAGAGGTGCACGAAATATAAAATACTGAATGAAATCTAAAATATCAACTTTTGGACCCGTGTCGATCTCTCGTGGAAACACCCATCCGCATTGCGATTATAAGTCAATACATTCCTCACGTCGATACGCCTTAAGCATAAATATACGTAAATACACGCAGACTGCGCATACTGCACCACACTTGAGCCTCTAACATGGTGGTATGCACATGACAGCCGACAGGCTGGCAGTAATTTCACATACAGTGTATTGAATCAAAATCAGCTGAAAATCCTTGCTGCGTGAAACAGCATACAAGAACTTCACCACTAGTGACGAACTCACCACTAGTGATCAACTAATGTGACGAAAGAACGAATGCAAACTTTCAGTACAACAAATTTTTAACTGTCGCACAACTATGCGATTCTTTCGCTCGATTGATCAAAACGTCGTTCTCCTCGCTGCAGCCTGCAATCTTCGTAAGGTTAAGTCAAACATTCTAGATTTTCATGAACCAAGAAGATGAGGACGCAGCTTAGCCCTCTTTCAGGCTTCGTGCTCACCTTTGGCAGCATGCTCTCGTGCAGATTGCTGGGGTCAAAGTAGTTGCGCAGCTTCCATGTCCAAGGTCCCTGCGCCTTGACGTGCACAGAAAGATAGTTCTCGTGTGGGGCCGACGTTAGGGTCAGAGAATGGTACTCAGTGGCACGAAAGCCCGTACAGCTGAGGCGCACCCACTGTCCAGAGAGGTACTTGAAGTTTGGTGGCCGTGTGAACTTGACACGTGTGACGTCTGTGAAAGAAAAAAGCAATGCAGCTATGAGCACCCGCAACCAGATAGTGATCGCTCATAAAGCACCATGTAAAGTACAGCGACTAGTGATGTGCCATTAAAAGACCCCTCAGAGGAACGTCCATGCTTGTGACATCCATGCTTTAATTGGTAAATTTTTCTCTGACATGCCACAAATTAATTCGTGATAGATCTAATGCATGATATAACTAGGAAATTTTAGTTTAGTGCACATAAGAGCATTGCGTATTTAGCGAAATCTGGGGTCTACAGTGCGCATTAGGCATATGTAACAAAACACTACGGTGTTGCGTGTAAACAAATGCCTTTCAGGCTAGCCTGAGGACCTTCTGGGTGCTTGCGAGTGGTCTCACGACATCAAGAAGCTGAACCTGTTTTGAAAGATGGAGGCCAAAAAGAACAATGATACGAGTTCGGCAAGTGGTGGCTGTTAGCAGCTGGGTTTTTTCGTGTCACTGGACATGGCCTTGCTTGGAGAGGTGATTGCGTAAAAATCTTTTTCAGATTCATTGCAATAACGCCATGTCGCTAGAAACTTGCAGCAAAGCGCTGGAAAATGGTCACCGCCTGGTCAGCGCATCGACTTCCTTGTGTCACACTTTGCACCAGGTGACCGCGCTAACTTCAGATAGTAATTCTGATTCATTTAGTGTCTCGTGCACAAAGCTATGACAAATACAGCTTGTATTTATGATTGAGCGGTCTACTTTTCTCAACACATCAGGAACAGAGCCCGAGTATAACGAGCATGATCCTACTCTTTCACGAGGTGCTCCATTTGGCACGAGAATTCGCGTATAGGGATGACAGGCTCAAGTTTGTGTAGTGCCGTTTGCCACCTTAATGGAGAGAGAGCAAAGCTCCAGTCACTCAGACAAGCCGCGCTTGCTTGGTTTTTCTATTGCATGCATGAAAAACGTCTTCCTTAGGGCTTTTATCTCATTTTTCACATGCTATTGGCACCGCTCTTTCGTTATCCTGGAAAGCAGGTACACACTCTCTTCATTGTGAGTCACTACAGAACTTTAAAAACATGGCAGAGCGGTTTTCAATGCAAGCAGTGCGAGTAGCAGTGGTGTCGAAATTGGATTATGACAGTTAATCAATATTTCTGCGGTCTTGTCACTTTGAAGAATTTTTTTTCGTACACAGTACCAAATATTAAGGGGAAAAAACGTGATGGTCAGACTCACATGAAAAGAAAGTGCATTTGTAAACTGAAACTACAGCAAATACACAACAGCTGTACATTTCGAGATTGGGCACTGGCTTTCCAAGACGACCATTTGTAATGCGAAAGTGGCTTGCTAGCTAATACACACCACTGTTAAAATATCGTACCCTGAGCCCTGTAAGTGTTTTAATCAGCTGATGGCTATAGACTTCCCATCGCCGCTCAGCAAACAGATTTACGTTGAGTGTTCACGCTGAGCGTTTATACGTACGGGTCTTGCAAGCAACACCCACCGATAAGTTAACAGGCTGAGGTTTTGCACTGCTAGGATCAAAGTCATGAGTTGAATTCTCGCGTGCACCAGCGGCATTTCCATGAGAGCAAGATGTAGTAACATTGTTCTTGGATTTGGATGTAAAGAACGGTAGACAGGGCATGTTGATTTTGCATATTTCAAGTGTACGGTGGGATGACGCTCAGTGTAAACAAAAGTGGCGCAGGGTGTATACAAATCTCTGTCTGTTGTCGTCATCCTGCCTTACACTTCAAATAGATTTAGGTGCACGTTGAAAAAAAAAACCTCAGGTGGTCAAAATTAATTTGGAGCCTCACAGCACGCAGTGCCTCCTAATGATATCGTGCTTTTGGCACGTAAAATACTATATACTTGCGTCCACCTGAGCCACAGGCGATACGCAGCTGCTGCTATAAAAACAAGTAAAAAAAAAAGACCAAGGCGGTAAAAAAATACATTTTTCAATATTTTCGCAAAATTCAACACGGTTATCAGGGGCCGATCTCGTCGTAACACAAAAACATGCTCGATCTTAGAGAGTATTGTATATATGACGAAGACCAAGCTAGCTGTCAAAACAATCAAAGTGACATTCAATAATAATATTATGCCTCTCTAATACTCACGTAAAAATCCTTTGTCTGACCACAATTAGAAGATGCTGCCATCTAGAACCCTCATCAAGCATATATCAGCAATGCACTCTAATTTTTTCAGATTCTTGGGACAGCATTCATCCATTCTTTATATTCATATTAAAACGGCATTTCCCCCTTAAAGGCAGAATCAAACTTCGCGTTTTGTCATCAGGTTGCCACTTTTTCTCTTTCTCGGAAATTGTTTTACAGCTCCCTGAGCCTTACATCACGCCCTTTTTGTCACAAAAATCAGTGCACACCAGTCATCAACTGCAAATAAACTGTTTACAAACACAAACCATAACATTTCAAGCCTCGAACTGCAAAACTCGAACTGCTCGAACTCGAAAAGACTCGAACTGCAAAAGACTAGCCTCACTATGCTACTGCCAAAAGAAGTCATACCGAATTTCCTGTCACATTGCCAACATGTATCACACCATAACACCTGCTTGTATGTTAACCACCCCATATGCAATACCCCTAAGTGGCATCTTCAAGGTAATGAAATGAATAAATGAAGTCTAAGATGCCACTATTTATTTACATTTAATTCATGATGCTTTTTTTTGTGAAAGATATTTCTATGCCTGTGCCGATAGAATTCTTGTAAAGTTATGTGCTAGGCTTCCCTTGTGTACAACAAGACGAAAACTTTGCATTTTGTCCCTTGTAAATACTATCGTCTAAGCCCATCTTCATACTTGTTTATAATGAAAACTTTCCATGTAACAAAATTTTGTCATTGCATATTTCAATTTGACTGAGGGAAGGCATTTAGTTTTTGGTTGGGTCTTCGCCATAATCTGAACAAGTTAGAAAGGTCAAAATAATCTGGAAATGCGGCAGGTGGAAATAAAAAAAACTATAAGAAAGAGTAGAACGCTGAAGCTTGTTCTGTGGGTGTCACTTGTACGTGACACTATGATGATGAAATGTACACCAATAAAATGCAACTTGGTATTCCTATGTCTATAAATGCTTGACAACACCTCCTATATTTCACACAATGCCAGTGCAAAAGCACGCTCTTCAACAAGAGCCGTCGGTTCGCCTTAGTTCAGAGACTGGTCACAATGCGACGCCCTGTGAGGAATATGCGGATGCTTGCATCACACTTGCGTCCGAGCGATTTCTTACGGAGATGTGACAGATGTGAGTTCCTTTCCGACATCATAAATCTGTCAGAGTTGTTCCTCAAAGGGGCCCTGAAAAACTTATTTGAGGAACCTGAAATTACTTCACTGGAAAAGCATATTACCTCAAAAATTCAAAGTCACAAAAATATTAGGAACAACGTTGTCTTCAGTTAAAATAAATACTCCTCATAACAACATTTACAGTGCTATCACAAACTTGAAGGTCAATGCTGATTTCTCGAAGCCATAAAGAATGACGCAGAAAGAGACTGCCTACAAGACCAACGAATCTAGATGTATCAAAGCCAACAGTCCAGCCTATCTCACTAGTGTGACGTCACATCAGTGTTTGGAGGCCATATTTCTTCTAGGTGGCTTTGGCCTAGTCATGCAGTAAGTCACGCATCGTGGTTCATTCAGACCGACCCCACCTCAATGGGCTCAGGTGTTCGCTGAAGACACCTTGGAATTTAGTAAGTGTCAATTTTTTGTTTCCGGGATTTCACTGAACAGCGATTATTTTTTCGGTACTGCCAGCACTTTTGGCAACCATCCATCCGTCCGTTCATCTGTCCGTCCGCCCGCCCGCTCGCCCTCTCACCCACCCACGTACGTACATCTGGGTGTTCTCATGATCACCCCCTTAACTTGGGGTAAACGAAAATTAGTATGGGAGGGTAAGATGTTTGACAAATGAATATAACTCGCTGGTCATGACATAGATAATATCACGATCCCGTTGAATATGTCATCAAACAATTTCCGCCATAAAATGATACATACACGCGGGCACGTATGTGCCACTGTCTCGCTATACACACGGGCGGTTACAGAAATGTCAGGGTCTCAACAGTAATCAACCCCAGCATTCTGCGTGGATACCAAAGATTCTACCATAGAGCCATGCCAGGTCTCGCAAACTGCTTTTCAAGTAGACCGTAATGTTCAGGAAGGGGATGCAGTGATGGCTATTCAAATTTATAAGCATTACACTTGTACTTATACATCCCCCCAATGGGTTCACATCAACTGTAGTTAAGTGCCATGTGCTGAAAATGACTGACGATTTCTTTCAACTAAGGAAAATGTAAACAGACATTAGTAATTTTAATTCGAGACCACGAAGAAAATCGGTTCCCCTTCACGAAGTGAATGACGACGAGTGGGTAAAGCGATAGGTCCTATCTAATGTGCACAATGTCTATATTGAAGTCACCAACTAGTACAAAGGACAGACAGTGGACGTATTCACGGACGAGCGGATGGACTGGCAGGCGTATGCATGGATGCACGTAGGGTAGGACGCATGCATGGACGAACGGACAGATGGTTAGATGGACAGATGAATAGACGGATAGTTGGTTGCACGGATGGATAGACGGATAGACCAATGGCAGCTCGGGTGATCATGTATTGTGGTGTCGTATAATTGATTAAACATGCAGTCGGTTGTTTACACACATTTTGGCCATTTCTTTATCTATGCCCTGTTCGTTCAGTGCGGTTGCATTGTATTCTGTGTCGCATTTTTCGCGGACAACGTGGATGAATTTGAATGACTTGAGCGGTGTTCGCATCAATTCGTTTTGTTTTTGTTTTTTGCTAGTGCTCTCTGCACTCATGTGGCGTTGGTTCTGTGGAAGTGACATCCTAGGAGCAGACCTCTGAACATTTTTTGTGAAAAAAACAAAGCTGATTGTGCTGTGAGGGCACGGTGCCGCTGAGTTCCAGTGTTATATCTTGTGCATTGGCTGAGAATGCTCTCAAGAAGAGGAAAGCTATCCTAATCGGAACGAAGCTGGACATCATCCGTGACATTCGATCTGATATGAAAAATGCCGACGTTGGAAAGAAATATGATATTTCTAAGTCGACAGTCTCCGGAAATAAATATATTTTGCATTCAGCCCGCATTTAGTTTTGATGAGCTTCCTACTTTCATGAAGTGAGCTTAGATTGAAGGAAGAAGCTCGCCAGGTCCTTGATTTTCAGGAAACTGCGCCTCAAGACCAACGAAAGAGGAGGGCCTATGCACATTCACTTGCGGACAGCTTTCTGTGCAGTACCCAATTATGTTCGGCGTGGTGATGGGGGCGCTGCTGGCGGCCTTCACAGCGCCGCCTGGGTAGAGTCTGACGCCTATACAAGGACGTGGAAGACACGTTGTTCAGGTGGTTTTCGGATGCTAGGAGAAAGAACATTCCCATCAGTGGACCCGTGCTTTTAAAGAAAGCAGGTGACTTTGCGTTCCTTCTAGGCCATGAGAATTTCGAGCCTGGAGGTGGATGGCTGCAGCATTTCAAAGAACGCCATGGGATTGTCTAAAGAGTTGTTGTTGGCGAAGCAGCAGCAGTCAATGAAGACGCAGCGAATGGCTGGCTGTCTGCTAACATAAGCGATGTGCTCCAGTTCGGTGAACGCGACATCTACAATGCGGATGAGAATTGTTTATTCTATCAGATGCTGCAGAACAAAACTCACTCACTCAAAGGCGACGTATGTGTTAGAGAGAAAATAGCAAAGTGCACGGGACGGTGCTGCTTTGCTGCAATATAGAGGGTAGCGACCGCCGCCTCCCTTTCATGATAGGAAATCAAAGAAGTCCTGGCATTTTTGACAGTTTCTACCTGTTCGGTATAAGCAGAATAAAAAAGCATGGATGACTCGGGTGCTCTTTGGCGACTGGCTAAAGGAGTTTGATGACGAGATGGTGGCTAAGAAGAGGAATATCCTCCTAATCTTCGACAACTGCTCCTCTCATCAGCTGAACCCTGAGCTGAAAGCCATCAAAATTCTTTTTTTGCCACCCAATGACACCGCAAAGCTACAGCCCCGCGATATGGGCATCATTCAAAACTTCAAAGTCAATTATTATCGTCAGGTAATTGAGAGGCTGCTGATCCTCATCTGCCGGGACAAGCCTCTCAAGATCAATTTATGGATGGCGGTGCAGATGATTAAGGATAAATAGACTAATGTTACCCGTGAAACAATGCAAACTGTTTCATGAAGGCTCCCTTTGTTCGTTCATTGACTTCGGCAACATCGGTCGAGGACATTGTTTCGATGTCTTAGAGAATGCACAGCAAGCACGGAGGGAAGCCGTTCAAGCTCAACTCGTGAGTGACGCAGACCTCGATGACTTTGTTGCAGCGGGTGATGCTGTGTGGGTGACTGAGGACCTTGAACATAGAGCAATCATCCGTCAAGTGCAAGCAGAAGCCCATCCTGATGCGCCATCCTCGGATGAGAATAGTGACGAGGACATTTCCCTGCCAGCGCCTATAGGCTCTGCAATGGTGAGTGAGTACATTGCCACTCGGAAAGACTTGGTATTCTAGAGGGGTCCACCAGAATAACCTGTTAGCAGCTTAGAGAACTTAGAAAAAGCCATCAGAATTTCTGCAACTGGGCATAAGCAAGCATCTATCACCCAGTTCTTTGAAATGCAGTGATGAACCTGAAAGTTTTTTCAATTTTTTTTAGTGTGTGTGTGAGTTGCTCTCTGTTTTGAAATTATTTCAAGAGTGATTTCAGCGTATGTAGTAGGAACATGCCACCTCATGTGTTTATTATAAAAATAAAACATATTGTTTTGCAGTCCTCGTTTTTTTTTTCAGATATCGTTAATTTGTGCTTATTGTGGCAACTAGCAGCCCTATGTTGTGCGCCGTGATAAAGGTTCCCAAGTGTAAACAATTTAGAATTTAGGGTGAACAGTATACGCCACTGCGTATAAACTGCCACTCAAGTGAAGCCATCACCGGAGCCGATCTTCACACCGCCCGAGTTGGCGCGAATGCGGCACTGCGCGCTAAAGAGCATTTGCATGGTGTAGGTGTTTAGCTACTATCTAGCAGTCGCGGCTCACCGACACTTCGTTTGCATAGTTGTTGATAACGAATCGTGATGAATTTCAAGCTTCGCTATTCCCCGTCTGAAGCGACACAGCTCCCGATGCGTTGAGTCTGGCACGACTGATGCACTAAAATGAAAGCCATTATCGTGCGTTGAGATTTTAAAGGCGCCCGAGAGAATTTTTTTGCGGACATTGTGCAGTCTGTCGGTGGCAGTAGGTTTGACACAAACACAGTTTAGTACGTTTGTAAGCAAGCATCGGGCGTCCCTTCGTAAAGCAAAAAGACTTAAATTGTCGCGGAAGGGGTTCCTCGACATACAGTCGAATCTCATTATTTCGAACACGCTTAATTCGAACTTTCAGGTAATTCGAACTCACAATGAGGTCCCGTAAAAGCTATGTGTATTGCAATGGGCGAAAGCGCTCGGTAATTCGTAAGTCCAAGCACTTCGGACGGTTAATTCAAACATACTGCACTCCGAAAATACTCTCAGCACTCGGCCCAATTCCGCGCCGCGGCACCTGCGACACCTCAACGCTGCCCGCGAAGAAAATGAAAAGGAAAGAAAAGGCTGCGGTGGAATGTTTGCTCTCTCTCAAATGCCGATCTGGGACGCGCCCCTGTCATGCTTCTCCCTTTTTTGTCCCTGCCACGTAAAGACCCTCCTCCTTCCAATGCCGCATGGAAAGAGAGAGAGGAAAAAAAAAAAAGAAAGCCGTTACTAGGTTGAAAAATTGTGTGGTTGAAGGAAAAGAAAAAGGAACTATCTTCTGCAGCCTTTGCCCCTTGCAGGAGCACAGCTCTGCGCCTTGAGGAAGGGGGGTCTCTCAAGCGCTAGTGCCAGGCTTCCCCCTTTCTCTCCACCGCCACGCAACCCTTCTTTCAATGACGCGTGCGAAGAGAGCAAGAAAAAAAGCTGCCGTGGAGCATTGGTTTTCTTTGAAATACCAATCTGCTTCTCTCCGCGTGGCGATGCTCCTTCTTTCTCGTCACGTGCTGGCCATGCTGCGGCTGCGTAGCGGAGAGTGGGAAGCTCTGCTATGCAGCAGTCGTTGTCGTCTTCTTTAGAAAGTGTCAGTGCCGGACAATTTCGCGCGCAACTTCTCTTGGCAAGTAGAATGCTGAAGCCGAAGTAGAAATTCTTCGCAAGCTGCGTGCGAAATTGATTGACTCGCTGCAAGGCAAACGTGTGCAGATGCGCATCATTGATTACTTCAATAAATAACTGATTTCTAGTGATCTGTGAATAAATGTAGGTCTCCTTAAACTTCCCCCTCGTGTGTTAGCTCAATGCACATGCACCACTGCATGGAGAGCCTTCCGTTTATTTAGCTTTCTTTAATCTGAACTTCTTTTAATTCGAACAAATTTTGGAGCCCCTCCGAGTTAGAATTATTGAGATTCGACTGTATTCGTAAATATGCGAGCGTTTTAAAGGGCGAGTCCAAAGGTACAACGAACTACTGATACAACGACCATTTTTCGCGACACTGTCGAGTTTGTTATAAGCGGGTTCGAATGTATGTAGGTTTTGACATCCCAAAACCACCATATGATTAAAAGAGACGCCGTAGTGAAGGGCTCTGGAAATTTCGACCACCTGGGGATCTTTAACGTGCGCCCAAATCTGAGCGAACGGGTCTACAACATTTCCGCCCCCCTCAAAAATGCAGCCGCCACCACCGGGATTCCATCCCGCAACCTACGGGTCAGCAGCCAAGTACCTTAGCCACTAGAGCACCGCAGCGGAGCGTGATTAAAATGCTGTCACAGTTTTTTGTGAATTTTTACCTGATGGCAGGAGCTCAGTGTCCAAAATGTCGAGTTCCATGTACTTTGTCTGAAGGCTCACAACCTTGTCCAGGGTGAAAACGATGGCTGGGCCAATGAAGAACATCCAAAAGCGAGGCGACTGCATGAAAAAGTGCATATTATAAACAATGTCAAATGACAAGACATTAAGACACAGTTTCATGATATAGGCACTATGATAGGACTGTGCCGAAAGAATGTTTTCAGATACATCCGTAGAGCAAGACAAACACAAATAATCAACACACAGCGAACAGTGGGTAATTTAGGCTTACTTTATAAAAAAGCTGTACATCGCTTTCTTGCCTGGGCAAATTACTAAATGTCAGGCACAAGTACATCAACAAATCTAAAAAGACATTCCATAACTCGATGACTGCGTGTATATCCTCACCAACATTTACACTGCTTCTATGATGTTCCGTAAATTAATACACAAATTTTTCTATTCAGAACAAAGAAACTGTAACGCACTTTCGACCTCAGTAACGGTTGTCTGGTAACGTGGACCCCACAAGCTGCCACTTGGCAACGCCGAGCAGCACAAATCGCTAAAGTTACAGTCTAGCGATACTAACACCCTGCCTACCACATCGAATTTGAGATGCACGTGTAAGAGCAAAAGAACACACCAAGGCTAACCAACATTGACTTGTCGCTAAATGAGCCAAATCTAGAAACCGAAACCAGCTGTGATAAGGTTCCATTGGCATGTACATATTTTCAACTTTCCTCTAAAACAGTTATAGGATGTATTTAATCTGAAGAAGTTTACACAGATGCGAAAAAGAACAGCCGCAGCTTTGTGCTTTATGCATCTCGTGATTTGCGCGTCGTGGTGTTCTCCTGGTCGAATTGTCGTGGACTGCACTCGCGCGCCACATGCACACATGCACACATATGCGTGTGTGTTAGGGGTCGGCTCACTGTCATTCAGTAAATAGCTTTCATACACATGCCGGAGACTTGTGCGTGTGTATGTGTGTATATATATATATATATATATATATATATATATATATATATATATATATATATATATATATATATATATATATATATATATATATATATATAAAGTGGGAGTAATAATTCGATGGGCCAGTTAGTCTGCTTGAGGGTATGATATATGGCACAACGGGAGCGTTGTCAACAAAGGATAAATATATTGCCACCATTGATGAACGAGCCACTGTGGCTCATACACGATTTTGGGCGCGAAGAAGAAGAGAACATCTCCGTTCCTCTGGTTCAAGTGAACTCCTGGCTGCAGGTCTCGTTTTGTTCGTGACATTACTGGTGGAGGTGCTGGGTACGTGTACTTCGGCTGTGTCGGCCATCGTGGAGACAGCTACATCTCCCAGAGCAAGTATCAGCCGCCGCCTGCGTGGGTTACCCCCTGAATTCGTTCCCTTGACATCGACACCCAGAAAGATGGCAACTGCGATGAAAAGCCAGGCGGTTCAAACCAGCGATGCCCATGATTCTCATCTCACCCATGTTTTTCACGTGCCACAGACACCAAAGCGGTTCCATGGAGACATCTTCGAGGATGTTGATGACTGGCTAGACCACTTTGATCGGGTTGCCAGTATCAACGAATAGGACGATGTTCGCAAGCTGTGCCGAGTTTACTTTTACTTGGAGGATTCTGTGAAGACGTGGTACGAGAACCACGAGGGCTCCTTTGCAACATGGCAAGAGTTTAGCCGACACCTCTGTGACGCCTATCGCAACACCGAGAGGAAGGGGAGGGCTGAACAAGCCATATCCTGCAGAAACCAACGGCCGAACGAACGTGTATCCATGTTTGTCGAGGACATGCTTCGGCTCTTCAAGCGCGCGGACCCTGCCATGCCTGAGGAAAAGAAGGTGCGGCATTTGATGCGCGGAGTAAAAGAACAGCTTTTCGCTGGGCTCGTGTGCAATCCACCAACGACAGTCGCCCAGTTCATCAGTGAGGCAACTACGATGGAACGTACGCTGCAGCAGCGGTCGTCACAATACGAACGCCAGATCCCGGCCACCACGTGCTCTATTGGCTCTGACAGCGAGAGACAGACCCTTGCAGACTTCATTCCAAGTATCGTTCGGGACGAATTGCGACAGCGTCAGGCAGTGGAATACCATCCACCTGTGTCAGCCCTCGCGGATGTAATCAGACAAGAAGTCCGGCAGGCCGTCACACTCCTGACCCCAATCGCACCCCCGATTCCAGAGGCCCCAGTCCTGACATACGCAGCGGCATTGCGATACCCTGCGCCACCGGCTACAGACACTGCTATGCGGCCAAGGTACCAGGCTATGCAGCCATTCCACGACACTGCTTCGAGCCCACCTCTCGGCTCAAGGTTTTCGAGCCCACCCACCTATCCGCCGTCTATCTCAAGACAAAGTGGTAGCAAGGCAAGCACGTGGCACACCTCGGATAACCGTCCACTCTTCTATTACTGTGGCGAAGCGGGTCACGTATACCGGAACTGTCAATACCGGCAACTAGGTCTCCGCGGCTTCCACCCTGATGCTCGATGCCCGCGCTACGGTGAGCGCCCCCGCGAAATTGAAGCCTATCTCATGGGCCGACGTACTCCTTCGACTATTCGGCACCACCAGTCGAGATCACCATCGCCTCGCCGGTCTACGTCACCCAGTTTGCCCTCATCGTCTTCCGCTCCTTTCAGGAGCCGGTCACCAAGTCCCCGCAGGGGAAACTAGGAACGGCGACTTCTGGGGGTGAAGTCGTGGCCCGGCGCACTGTAAAAGACCCTCCTTCGACGCAACGACCGGACGAGGGCGATTCCGGTTTTGCAGTGTTCTCCGACAGCAAAAAGATTGTTTCTGCCGAAATTGCCGTCTTCGTCGACAATCATGCTGTTAACGCCCTCGTCGACACCGGTGCCGACTATTCCGTAATGAGCGCCACACTGGCATCTGAACTGAGGAAGGTTACCACACCACGGCAAAGACCTCAGTTGCGTACGGCAGGTGGCCATCTGGTGACGCCTACTGGTATGTGCACGGCACGCATTCGAATACGTACGTCGACATTTGTGGGCTCTTTCCTCGTATTGCGCATGTGCTCTCGGCCAGTCATTCTAGGAATGGACTTCCTTCGTGAATACGGCGTCGTCATCGACCTCCGTGAATTACTTGTGTCGTTCGAGGATCCTTTTTGCGCTGCAACTGACAGTACGCAATTCCGGAAAAGAGCGCTCTGTGTTACCGACGATTCTCTGACTCTCCCACCTCGAAGCAGCCTCTTTGTCAAAGTGGAATTGGGACTGGACGTGTCTGACGCGGTAATTGCAGAGGCCAATTTGTCTCTCCTTATTTCACGACAAATCTGTGTTGTCCGAGGAATCATTCAGCCTAGCAATAGGCATGCTCACCTGCTGGTCACGAACTTCAGCGACGAATATCGCCACCTAACGAGACACACTGCCATTGCATATTGTGAAGAACTTGCCGATGCCGATGGTCCGTCAACGTTAGCTTCATTTTCATCGAATGGCCACCCTGACGAGGCCTTCGTGAGCACTCTCGACGTAAACGAGAGACTACCTTCGGCTCAACGAGAAAGCCTTTTGCGTATACTCGGCTCATTTCAAGACTGCTTTGCCACTACGTCAAAGGTTAAACAGACACCACTTGCTCAACATCGTATCATCACGGAACCCACCGAGAGACCCATCCGACAACATGCCTATAGGGTGTCGCAAAAAGAGCAAGATGCTATACGTGACCAAGTCCAGCAGATGCTTCAGGACGACGTCATTCAGCGATCGACCAGTCCCTGGGCTTCGCCAGTTGTCCTAGTAAAGAAGAAGGACGGTACGTTGCGTTTTTGCGTTGATTACCGTAAACTGAACAAGGTCACCAAAAAGGACGTTTATCCTCTACCCCGAATAGATGACTCGTTGGACCGTATACGCAATGCTAAATATTTTTCCTCCATGGATTTGCGTAGCGGCTACTGGCAAATCGCAGTGGACGAGCGCGACCGCGAAAAGACGGCGTTTATTACTCCCGACGGTCTGTGCGAGTTTGAAGTGTTGCCTTTCGGTCTATGCTCAGCGCCAGCTACTTTTCAAAGAATGATGGGTACGGTTCTCACGGGGCTCAAATGGCAATCATGTCTTGTTTACCTTGATGACGTCGTGGTCTTTGCAGACACGTTTGAACAACACGTCCAACGCCTTCATGCAGTTCTTCAGGCAATCAGAACAGCGGGGTTGTCTCTCAAACCCGACAAATGTCATTTTGGATGTGAAGAACTGAAGTTCCTTGGTCACGTTGTGAGCCATGCCGGCATCCGCCCAGATCCCGAGAAAACCCGCGCCGTTGCCGCCTTTCCCGTGCCCACAAATAAGCGCGACCTACGCCGATTTCTGGGGCTCTGTGCGTATTACAGGCGCTTTGTAAAAAACTTCTCGAAGATTGCTGAACCCTTCAACAAGCTTACAAAAGACGATGTCTCGTTTGTTTGGGGTCCCGATCAGTGCCATGCGTTCGACACCCTCCGAAACCTCTTCCAGGCTCCGCCTGTACTAGGTCATTTTGACGAAAGCGCTGACACGGAATTACACACTGACGCCAGCAACGTTAGACTAGGAGCGGTATTAGTTCAGTGGCGTAATGGCGTAGAGCGCGCGATCGCTTATGCGAGCAGAACGTTATCCCTAGCGGAGAAAAACTATTCTGCAACCGAAAAGGAATGCCTCGCTGTTGTCTGGGCCATAACAAAGTTCCACCCATACTTGTATGGCCGCCCATTCAGGGTAGTTAGCGACCACCATTCCCATTGTTGGCTCGCGAATCTCGAAGATCCCTCAGGTCGTCTAGCACAATGGAGCCTTCGGCTACAAGATTTCGATGTCACCATCGTCCACAAATCTGGGTGGAAACACAACGACGCTGACTGTCTCTCACGTGCACAGGTCGAAAATGCCAACACTGACCTTGAAGACGACGACACTTTTCTTTCTGCCGTATTAGCAACCAGCTTAGCTGAGCAACAGCGTCACGACTCGGAGACGTTCCCGTTTCACCCCGCAAACTGAAGTCATTCACGTTTCACGTCTCAAACCATACTTTTCGCGCTGTGAATCGCCAGTGAGTGACTGACTTCATTGATAACTTCACGTCTTTCTTTTTGTTTCGTCTTTTCCTTACATTTTTTCTATTTTTCTTATTTCTCATTTAACTTTTGTCCCCACAACCGACTACGTTATTCCACCTTACGCCATTCATTTTGCTCGCATGCTAATTTTCATCTAATTTTCTTTTCTTTTTTTGTCTTCATGTACAGCATCGAGACGATGCTTTTGGGAGAGGGGGTAATGCCGCCATTGATGAACGAGCCTCTGTGGCTCATACGCGATTTTGGGCGCGAAGAAGAAGAGAACATCTTCGTTGCTCTGGTTCAAGTGAACTCCTGACTGCAGGTCTTGTTTTGTTCGTGACAACACCAATGTCGTCGTCTTCTTTCATTAGGTGCCATTTCAGCTGCTCCACCGGAGGGGTATTTCCACACCCGTGACAGTACTGTATATATAACTTAGTGTTCTTGTGGAATAGCTCAAAAGTAAGAGTGACCTTGTTCTGAAAATATTTGGAAGAGGTCTAGCATCATTTTTCCTGGTTACACAAACTTCTCACATAGAAATTCCCATCGCTTTGAAGGCACTAACTCTTGGTAGTACCTTCAGCATTACCTCTGGAGGCTCTGGAAGGTGTTCATGAGCACCCCAAGGCTGAACACTTAGCATTTTTCCAGCATACTCGCAAGAATACAAGGACACTACTAGTGGCCCCTCCTCAGTGTCAACACCACCCTTAATGTAGGCTACCAACAACACAAGACACCGCCGATAATGACAGCTGGACTTCTGCAGCACATCGCATGAACTCGCCTACCGTTCCAACAGAATCAGGATGGACTTACTGGAACTATTTCTGACATCCACTTCCGAAAGCAAATAGATCATTGTATCTACCGACTACCTCAACCGCTATTCAGAAAAAGGATTCTGCTCAAAGGCAGCACCACCGCGGTAGCAAATTTCTTTGCTGAGAACGTTGTGCTGCGTCATGGCATTCCAGAGGTTCTCATTATCGACAAAGGTACCACCTTTATTGCAGACCTAACTGAGGTGATCTTGAGCTACAGCCATACAAGCTACTGCCAGACTATCGCTTATCACCAACAGACCAACACTGTTATCGAACATATAAACAAGACCTTTACCAAAATGCTCAATATGTACTCCTGTTTGAGCCCAATAGTAGGATGTCACTCTTCCATAGGTGAACATTGTAGATAACATGATCATGCAAGATACAATGCAGATAACACCTTAGAGGTTGGCCTAAAGAAGGCACTTGGCAGGAACACTTGACACGATGCTGCCAGACACCACCGATGAAGAAAACCACGACATTGCTGCTGACTTTAGAAAAAAAAAAAACTCGAAAGCTCGCTCACTAAAGTTTCTACTCCTGTCGCTTCCAATCTCTATGACGCATCATGAAATACCATACTGTTGGAGACCTGTTTGTATTTTGACACCGCTAAGCCGGCGCCGACCAAACAAAAAAATCCTTGGATATTTGTCGGGTGGCAGATGATACTCCAAGGTATTGACCCGCGGGACTACCAGGTTGTCCCAGGACGTTGAGTGAACCTGAAGACTACAACTTTCACTTTTTGATAGGTCAATATTTGTGTGTCTAAGCCTTTTTCCCTCCCATTTTCTCTTGTAAGCATTGAGACGACAGTTTTTAAGAGAGGGGCGGTGCTACGTGCGCTTCTTTTGATATTTTAATGCAACTGATCAGTTAGATGTAGAACCAGTGCTGCCTTGCACAAATCCCGCCCGAATGTGAAGAGATTTTCTAGATTATTCTGGAGTGCAGCAAGAACGGCAGAGTTTGCTCTGAAAGTAACCCAGCCACAGGGACGTTAGCAGGGGGTGGCAAACCGAATATTTTAAGGGGGGGTCCCCTCCTAAAATTAAAAAGGTCCCCCCCCCCCCCAATTTCTGGCTACGCGTCTGCCCAGCCACCAACAATAACGTTGGAATCTACGATGCCTCAGGTATGTTATGTGGACATACTTTACTGTTAATCACAACATGAGAAGCAAAATGGGCAAGCAAATGAACGGCGAAGCTGGGCAGGAGTTCATTCACAAGTGGGGTCTATCGCATACGAACCAATCGAAAGCTTGCTTCCTCACAAAATCATATGAACGAACTGCCGGTGTCATGAACAGTGCCAAAAAGACGACAAACATCAAAAGAAAACAATAAGCTCTTTTTTTTTTGCATTTTTAGATGTTGTTCGGGGCCCTTTAAGAATGGGGTCGTGGATATACGTGCGCCAGCCTAGCTTCTCACTCTTCTGTGTTTACCGCTATAGCTTGTGGCCTACCCGTCGACATAGAAGATACCTCAAGAATTCAAAATAGTAATAATAATAATGCGGCTTTCCATTCATGAGACAATAAACTCCCTTGGCGGGGGGCTTTCGACTGTCGCATGAAAACGTGTTGTGGCACCCTTTTGAAATAAAGAATGATATTGCTGTGCTGGTACGTTAAATCCAAACAATTATTAACATTTAAGATGAAGACACACAATGGCAATACTTTACTGAAACATAGTGCACAAAATAGCCAATGGCAAAGCAAATTGCAAAGCATAGACATTTGAAGCTCATGTACTCACCCCTGTAAGTTTAGCTTGTCCATGTAGCAGACACAAGATGTAAAGAAGAATATAAAGGCTGTGCGTCATCCAGAAGTAGCTGTATGCCTTTTGCCGTATTTTTGGATGCGCAAATATAAATATGATGCACATGACAATGAAGAGCAGCACACCCGTGATACCTGAAAAATAAAAATTAAGACGAATATATTATTCGGCAAGGTTATCAACAAAATGAAAATCTATTACTAATTTTTAAGAAGTCGAACGTCTAATTAATCACAGCGAAGCCAAGGAGTACACATTCCTGTTCATTTCAGCTGTGTGATCATTTTGCTTATGCAAACTGTTTGCTGCTCATTGATAAAGTGCTTTTCATATTTATCATCATACTAGGCTTTCGTGATCTGTAAAAAAAAATGCATGTGCCAAAAAAGTGCCTACTGAAGCAAATTTTTCAGCAACAAAAGCTCACGGAAGCTACGTGCTTGTGTTGCCCTTTTGTTTTTGTTTTAATGCTTTCACCGGTGTACACTGCCTTGCGCTGTACTAGTTGATATGACATGATATAAAAATATAAAGCTGGATCTATTTTTTTTTCTATGATACCACTTTGTGAATCAATATAAGTAAAGAAAGTAGCTTCATAATGGATACGGTCTTACTACAAAATATTTCACACAAAACAGTGTACGCACCGGTGACTGTTTGAAATACCCAGAAGGTAATCGTGGACTTGAAGTCGGAGCTGCAAAATAAAAACCAAAAAGCGTGTCAATAACGTTTTGCCAAAGGAGCCTTTATTTTTGGGACAAAGTCTCAGGCAACTGAGGCAAGGCAAAAGGTAATGTGAACCGAACAGGCACTTGACCGCCAAGTGTGTCCCAGTTTGCCATGTTTTGCATCGGGTGCGCCCAATTCACGAAATGCTCGACCAAGGAGCCAAATGAGGAAAATTGATCAATCTAATACTGCTACATTCTACTGCTGATTCCTAAAATATTTAAGGAAAAAATTAAGCACCTTCACAATACAGAGAAAATAAAGTTTCAAATTTTAGCATAAAAAAAAAAAAACAAAACACCGAAATTGTAGGCAAGATTGCAGGTGGTTGCATTAGCGTGTTTAGAGCGAAGCACTGCAAAAGGGATGGAATGAAATTGCACGTCTAAGTTTAGTTTATTCAAGATCAGTTCAGAACTTTATTTCAATCATGTCTTATATGGCATTTCCTTAACAGCCATTCATGACTATCGATTTTGTTCTTTGTCATTACCATGACAGCTTGATGTTCACAGTAGCTCCCTAGATAAAAAATACAGTTTCACTCAAAGACGAAGCAATGAATGCGATAAAAACAGACTGTAATATTTAGGGCCAGCAGCTAGCAATTTTGGATCTGATATCGCGTAACTTTAAAAAACGCTGGTGTAAGGGAATGTGGCTGCTATAACTTATTTAAAGTTGCTGCTAATTGTGGGTGGTCGTGTGCATAGCCTCCATGTTAGAGGCTCACCGGCGCGGTACGCACAGCCCGCACAGGTCCGTGTATACTTGTTGATACGTATACGTAAAGCGTATCGATGTGAGGCGTGTATTGGTTAATAATCACAATGCCGACGTATTGCTGCGTCCTTTGCTGCACCCAAACAGGAACTCGGGATGCTTCAGATAAAAATGTAAGCCGTTAACTTTTGCCCTTGTTAAGTTTAGAGGGAAAGTTGTTAAGAGATCACAATTCAGGTCACGTGCCGCTCTGTAGCTGTCTGCCACAGCCGCTGCCGCCTCTGGTGTCTATAATCACTATGCCACGAAATAAGAAAAAAAAAGACCTCGTACCAAGAACACAGGAAGGTTGTAACCCGAGTCCGCTGCATGCCAGCCCTGTATTTTATACCACTAAGCCACGCCGGTGCTTAGGACTTGTTCGCAAACTTGCCTTAGGCAGGCTTGATTTAGGGAGAATAATGGCATTGATGTGAGTAATAAAGAATTTAGAACAGCAAAAGAACAACCAGGGGTCACAAAATTGGAATAGCATAATGAGTGTGCCGTCCAATGCTCCAACCCATTGCAAAAGCTTGTTCTTTATCACCTATTAACTGTGGTGCATACCCACTTTAAGCACGATTTTATCATCGTCAGCCACTGCATGAGCAATCGGCACAAAATTCTTCCCAAGTGTTCAGTGGATACCATGGTTCTTAGAAGAATGATGAAAGATAGCAAAGTGAAGGCCGCCCTACTACCCAGAAAATATCATTATTAATGCCCTAGTGAGGAGCAAGCAAGTGTGCTTGCAGCAGTTAACCAATGAGTGTTTAGAAAAGGCTCTCGAAGGCCTCTATTTTAGCTTTCGCTGTGACTGTGCTGCGCCTTCGCACAGGCCAGGCGTTTTTTCAGGTTCACCACTTTTCGAGCATGTGCTCTGGAGAATGCTCCTGAAACATGAGTTTGTGTTTGCCCTTCTAAGCAAAAAAGTGTTCTTTGAGTGCAGTTCTTTGAGTGTGCTGTTTATTTTTACAGCAGTTCAGTAATGGCACAGGCTGAATTAGGAGTAAGTGTGCGTGATCCGTTCATTTTAAGAGAGCGACAAAGTGGAAGCGTCTTTGTTTCATGTTTCGTTTTCAATTCTGAAGTGTGACAAACTGCATTTTGGTGGGATCAATTGTGTATTACGGCGCACATTTTTCAAGCATTCGACGTGCTCAGGCACGTCAATGATACGAAATACAGGCACGCGCAGTTAGCCGCAATAAAGCTTGTTGTGTGAAAGTCGATTCTGCGTGAAGCGTACGAGTCACCTTCACTTAGTAGTGCTGGTGAAAACGTTCCAAAACCTGCCATGCTTTGGCGTCCAGCAATTTATGGGAACAAGAGTACAAATGCTATGGCGCATCTTATTCACTTCCAAAGGCACATGCAAACATATGTTTTGGGAGCATTTGTTGAAAAAGTCGTCAGCCTGAAAAAATAACAAAGGATAATGTATTTAGACACGTATACGTCAGCATTATGTATACATGTGCACAAAGACAAGCGGACCTGTGAGGACTGTGCGAACTGCACCCCGCTGAGCCTCTAACATGGTGGCTATGCACACGACAGCCGAAAGACGGCAGCAATTTCACTTAAGGTCATAAGGCGAGATGCTATTCGCGTTGATGGCGCAGGGCATAGAAGCATATGCAAAGCGACCGCAAATGCCTGTAAAGATAGCAGGTACCAGAAATCACGACATGACATCAAAGTTCACAGTTGCTCTTCGAGCCAGACCTCCACGCCAGTGACGTAGCTAAGGTGTAGCACACGAAGCTTGTGCCCCCCACACCTCTCTACCTCCAAATTTTTTTTTGCCATGGTATACGCAACAAAAATGCCATTTTATGGGTTGCATCCACAGAATGGGTCGCCCCCAAAATTTGATAAGTCTCCCCCCCAAAAATTTCTGCCTACACCCATGCTTTCCGCATCCGTTCATGCTCGTTGGAAACAAGCGTGGCATTTCCTTTCAGCTTGAGAATTCCACAGCTGGTTAACACGCAATAAGAAGGTACCGCACGCCCCCTACAAGCGACGAAAAGGGGCCTGCTCATTTGATCTCTACTTCAGCCGCCTACACCTTACCCCTGCTCATGTGCAAGTACTCGCGGGTAGAAAATACGATATGTGGGGTTATTCTATTAATTTATACTTTATACAGAACATGACGGTGATGTCCAGTGTGTCTATATAATGGCTATCACAATAAAAACAAAAAAATGCCATGCTGCCGTTCACGAGGAGTGCCTTTTTCCTCGGTCGCCTTGACCATTAAGGACGCTGTGCACATCAACCCACATTTCCACCACCCCTCTCGAAACGGTGGAGTGGCTAGAAGAGAGTCTATAGCATTGGTTACCGCCTTTCCTGCCAAAGCCACCTAGTAATGCAGTGTCGTCCATGACCGAGGTGGTTACACCATCTGTAGGTGCACCTGGGAACCAGAGCATGAGAACCTTTGATGCTTCATCACCCCAGCATCAGAATTAACATTGCGCCTGTTGAATAAGGCTGCACCGGTCGTGGCTTTTCTCTCTCCTTTTTTTGCTTACACCGAGGGACAGCGCCACGGACGTAGACTGCCTCCAAAACGCTCAGCTGTGTCCCTCTTTCTGTTGCCTTTGTGGGTCAGTGCAGCAGTTTCATTGCGATTGCGGTGTGACATGGTTACGGTATTGTAGTACTTCTATATATTGTTAAGCACGGAACTTAAACTATGTGCCTGGGACAGGGTGACGCATGTAACCCTGTCCCATCCGTGTTGATTCAGTTTGGCGCTGAACAGTACCAATATGTCGCACTAGCTAGGCTGAAAATCAACCATTATGATCGAGTGGACATTTAACGAGTTTGAGTGCAACTCTGAGCAAGGCTTATCAGGAAAGATATTGGTCCAACTCAATTACGACCGCACTTTGAAAAACCTCTCTTTCGTTTCTTCATTTCTTCCTGCATCACTTTCGCTGTTGAGCACAAACCGAGTCAGACGTGTTCCCATTTTCATTATTCGTTTAAGCAGCTAGCATTGGACGCATACTATTAGCTAAAAGTTGATTTAGTCAGTACAGCTTCTTGTGCATTGACCTAGCAATAGATATGCAGAGTTTGGCAGAATTCAGTGTAATTGGGAGGAGCCGTTCAGAAAAAGAACAAACACCGATCACAATACACACTTAAAAACAAACTTAAAAACAAACACACAGAACACAGATGAGCACTGTAAAAGTGCTTTTGGAACACTTAACCTTTTCTCATTGATCACAGCACCTGAAACTGTGTTTTTAGTTACCTAGGCAGCGGTGACCTCTCAGAGCAATAATTTGTAACTCTGCCGGCAGAGTCTTCCTGTTCTATACTCGCCTCAGTGATAGGAACAGTTTTTTAGAGGTGAAGCACCTTGGGATCGAGCCATGTCTCTCCAATGTCCGTTTCCCTGGCTTGCACGCACTCGGAGCGCCGGTCCTGAGCGTGCCGATCGTACGTAGAAGAGCCGAACGATGATCGCGGGTGCCCGCATTTCTTTTTGCTGCACCGCCTCAAGAGCTGTAAAATGCACTCGCTCCCGGCTCTCTCTCTTATGATCATGGAGTGCACTTCGTGATGAATGAAGACACGACGGCTCACAGCGCGGCTGCATCGCAACGCAGTCCAGAGTTTTGGGCTCGCAGAATGGCTGCAGCACTGCAGCGCAGACTAGCGAATCCACACTTGCGAGCTTACAAAGCTGCCGCGGTACCGGAGTCTTCTTAAATTTGGGTTGTATCCCATAAGAAAACCCTGAGCTCTACATATCACTGACCTTAAGGCGGTCATAATTAATAGAAAATGCCACCCACATCTCACCACCATATGATTATTGTGATGAATAAGCAGCTTTGTATCTTCCCTACACACGTCTCGTCTTTTCATAATTTAGTGGACAATGTACGGGGGGCTAGTGATTCCTTAGAGCTTCGCCCACTCATCATCCTTCAGTTTGTAGATATTTTGTGATTTTTTTTAAATAAAAAATGTTATGTTTTTTTTCGTTGCCAGAGGCATCGCTTTTTAAAGCAAAATAAATGGAAGAACCAGAGGCAGAAGCTCAATACAAACATTCGATGACATTCTTCATTTACAACTTAAAAAATTAAGACATTTTAGTATGACAACGTATTTATCGTTTCTGACGTACATATAAGCTATGTCCACAACAATTAATTTTTT